CAGTCGGAGATGTTTTTCCTCGCGGGCGAGCGAGATGCCAGTGCCGCGGCTGCTCACGCGGCGGCGAAGGGCTCCGCCGCCTGAGCAGATATCTGGAGTATCCTGCCGCCCCGCCGCGGTTGAAGGGTGAGGGAGCAGGGAGCGGGGCATAGGTGGGAGGAGGAAGCAAGGAGAAGGAATGAGGGACGAGGGGGGGGATTCAGGAAAAGGAGGGAGGGTTTGGCTTCGATGTGGTAGTCGAAGAGGAGAGAGGCAGGAGGAGCGAGGAAGGAAGATGCGGAGGAGCAGAGAGGAGGGAGGAGAACGAGAGAGCAGGGAGGAGGGAGGGGGAGACGAGCACGGGGGGGAGAGGGCAGCGGCAGCCAGGGCAAGCCGTGCGGCTGCAGATGAAACCCCGGGCCAGAACGAGCAGCGCAGAGTCCCACTCGCAGGATCGGCTGGCATCGGCGGCGCCGCTCCAGAAAATCGCATCCGATCCGGTGCGTCGGATTGGGCCGCATCTCGGCACCGAGCTGGGCTCGAGCCAGGTGGGCGGCGCCAGCAGGCACAGCAGCGCTGTGCAGGCGTCGGCGCCGCGTCTCTGGTCACCGGGAAGTCGACTCGCAGATCGCCATGAATCCTGCTCTGGAGACGCACTCGAATAAAACCTGCGGCGATCTGGCCGAAGGCGAGCCAGCGCCGGGGGATCACCACCGGAGCCCCGACGAGCACAGCACCCTGCCGTGTCAGGTAGTGACCAGGGTCTATAGAGCTCGTCCAGCACTCAGGCAGCAACGCACCGAAGCTGCGACATCCTGGTCACGGCGCTCTGACGTACGCGGCGAAAAAACACCACGGCCGTGTCACCTGACAGCACGGGCATCGGCACTGCACGACTCGAAAGGCAGCACGCTTCTAAATGACAAGACGTCGGTAGCACCCCTGGTCGAAAGAACATGACCACGCAGGAAGGTGCGCGCACAACTGACCGAGTCCTGTTGATATCCCGACAGCGCGTCACTTTCAATGCATTGTCGGCCGCCGCTTGATTTCAGTGGGCCTCTACCTCCGTTGCACCCTGGCAGCACGCACCGAGCAAACGAGCAGAGACTCCGACAAACGTTTTGCATGATTTTGCCCCTGTCACTCATGCCGCCCGTCTGATCCTCCTCCTCCTCCTCCTCCTCCTCCTCCTCCTCCTCCTCCTCCTCCTCATCCTCCTCCCAGTCTCTCCTCCTGCTTTTTCCTCTCCTGCCCGCACCCCTCCTCCTGGCGCACAGGCTCGAGATGTTCCCACGACGCCACCCCTCCTCCTCTTCCTCCTCCTCCTTCGCTTCATCATGCCGCATGCCCCTTCCCCCTCTCCTTCCTCCTCCTCCTCCTCCCTCCTCCTCCTCCTCCAACTTCCCTCCCTCCCTCCCTCCCTCCCTCCCTCCCGCTTCGAGGTCCTCTGCGAACCTCGTCGGGACAGCTGCCGGACGCGCCGGCCCCGCCGACCTCGGCGCGCCGGGCCAGCCGGGCCCCGCCAGGGCTGCCTGCGGATGTATACTGCCCCACGTGGTGCCGCCCATGCGGCGTGGCCTCCGCTGCCGGCAGACGCCGCCCCAGCGCGCAGGGTCTAGCCGCCCGGCATGCGCAGGCGCAGGCGCTGGCCGTGCGCAACCGGATGGGGTGTTTACCAGCCTCGAACTTATCCCTATCCCTAAGATTGACACGCCAAAAGGCGATGACAATCTTAGGGATGCGCCCTCAATAAATGAGGGAATCCTAAGATTGGCATCGTGATGAGGAGATGCCCAGCATAAGGATAGGGATATGTTCCAGGCTGGTAAGGTGTGGCACCCCGCCCGGGCTCGACGCGACACCTGCGGACATCCTGCTGCGGGAGCTCTTGGAGCACGCGGAGGCGCAGGATGCCAAGCGGCGGAAGACGGGCGCCGCGCCGCCGGCGGGTGTCGCGCGTGCTCCTCGACGTGCTGCAGTCGACGCGCCATTGCTGAGAGGCCCTGATCTATACTGACTCGCCCTGGCCCCGCGCCTGTTCGTGGAGCCGCCGTGCCGGACCGCGATACGCCTCGTCGACCTCCGGCTGGTGCCGCTGGTCGTTTGAAGGGGCCCCGAGACACACAAATGAATATACACAAAAAAAAAGATCCCCCATATTTTCATATATGTTCTTGGTTTTTGTCTTCCCCCCCACTTCCCATATTTTGCCATATTTCCCTGGGAATCGACGATTCATTGTGTCTGTGTGTTTTTTCCCCTCCTGATCGTTGCCCCGCGCGGCCACCGGGCGCCGCGCCGTCGGCTGCCCCTCCTGCCGGCCCCCCGGCGCTGGGGCCGGCTCGAGGCCAGTGGCGCCGCGGTGCCGCCGCCGGCCCATGGCGCTCCCGGAACGGATGCCGCGGGCCCTGCAGGCGGTGGCCACCAACTCGGGAGCTGGCACCTGCTGGAGGGGCCCTGGGACACACACAAAGTGACAGGCACAAATGACAGGACTCCCCCCATGAGTATTCCCATATTTTCTGGCCTTTTTTTGTCTCCCCCCCCTTCCCATATCTTCCCACACTCTCTGGGGAATCGCCGATTCATTGTGTCTGTGTGCTTCTTTCCCTCCCATCTCATTTTTGTTCCCATATTTTCTGGGTGTTTGTCTTCCCCCCCACTTCCTTGTTTTTCCCATACCTTCTGGGGGATCGACGAGTCAATGTGTCTGTGTGTTTCTTTCCCTCCTGACTCGCGCCCGCTGGAAAGTGTGCTAAGGCTGCTGCCGCGCCTCACGCCGGGCTGCCGCTGCCGGAGGTGCAGCCGCCGCCGCTCCGGGGTCGTGCTGACGATGATGCAGGTCGTCAGCGCTCGGATTGGGTCGGGCGAAAGGGGGGATAGCAAAGGGGGGGTTTGAGAAGCAGCTCACGTAGCTGATTTTCTCGGCGCCTCCCAGCGCCGGAGGCGGCTATGTATCGAGGAATGGGCCCCTCGGCGAGGGCGAAACCAGCTGCGTGCAGCAAATGTCGTAGACCCCCCCTTTTCCCAATCCCCCCCTCTCGTCCTGCCCGATCGGAGGCTGAGCTCTGGATCGTGCCGCCGCCGCTTCCGCGCAGGCGCCGGTCGGGGATCTTCTGACCCGGGTCAATCCAGACCCGGGTCAGCAGGAAACCAAACACTGCAATGCAGGAAAAAAAAAATGCAACGCAGGTCTTCGCAAACCCGGGCCAGCCAGTGTGCGCGGCCGCCTCGCGGCCACGAGCGGCTCCCTAACCCAGGTCAGCTAGAGGGGGGCTTCGCAGGATCCTGCAGGATCTGGTGCCCTGGCTGACCCCCGTTCGGCGGTGGACAAACCTCCCTTTAATAGACCTCCCCTTAGTGAAAACGGCCTGGGACCGAAACCGACGGACCTGGACCCGCAAAAATGACGGCCGCGACGCCCTCTCGCGAGCCGAAAACGGCCGATTTCTTAATCGACATGTCAGGGTAGGAGGTCTATCCACCCCCGACCCGTTTGCATTGAAAGGCTCCCGAGCCGGCACCGGCCCCACCGCCCCGGGCTTCTGGGCAGGCGCCGGGCGGCTCGCTCCCTCCAGCGCCCCCATGGCGGCGGCGGCCCGGGCCCCCACGGCGCCGCCGGGCTCGGCGCGGGAGGCCGGCAGGCCGGCGCTCGTGTCCCTCGGCCTGCTGCCCTCCCCCCCCCCCCCGCGTCCGCTGTCGGGGCCCCCTGGGAGGCGAGCCCCTCCCCCTGCCGTGTCCCCTGTCGGGCGAGGCCCTGCGAAGTCTGGGCAACGCAATTCCCCTCAAAACACCGTATACTCAATGAACCGGAACGGCGTTTTTCCCGTATATATATATATATATATATATATATATAACTACGGGAAACGCAATGCTGGACGACTGCCCGGGGCCCGTGGGGGGGTAGCGACGTGCCCTCAGCCGACGAGCCCGAAGGATGATGAAGTTCGCAAATGCTGGCAGCGTTTTGCTCTGGAACGTCCACGTGACAGAGCGGAGGCGGAGGCGGTGCCGGCCCCGCAGTCCTGCTGCCGATGCGCCGCAGACGGCCGTGGCCGCGAGGGACTGCGCCCCTGTCGCACGATCGGTGCCAGGCGATGTGGGTTCAGCTGCTGTGGACCCTCCAGTTGCCGTGGACCGCTACGCCGTGGTCAAAGACACCGGAATGCTGCTCGTGACAAGCGACAAGCTAACGGCGGCGGCGGCGATGTGTCTCCCCACCCCGGACCGCGGGGCACTCCTGCGTCGATATTGACAGCACGTGGCCCTGGATCGTGATGCCGCCGCCGGGGCCCTGTCCGATGAGCGGGATGGTCGCACCGCGGCGGTGGGCAAGCCCCTCCACCCCAGCGTCCCCTCTCGGGACCTGGGGGAGGCGGCGCGGCAGCCTGCGGGCCCCACCCCGTTTCCGGCTGCGAGTGCGGAGGTGAGCCTCTCGGGGCCCCGGGGAGGCGGCGCGGCAGCCTGCGTCGGGTGTTGCTAGAAGTATCCCTGGCCCAAGGTACCCCCAGGATTCTCGGGGTGGCCCAAACGGCCTCCAAGGCACCCCTCACGAGGCCCAGAGGGCCCCAGGATGCTCAAACATGGAGCGAAAAGCTGGGGGCACATTGGGTCAAGGGCACTTCTAGCAACACCCGACTACGGGCCCCACCCGGGCTCCAGCTGTGAACGCGTCACCGGCCGAGAAGCGCGAGGAGCGCGTACTTGGGCATCCCACAGCGCGGCAGAGCGTCGTTCTCCTCGACATGCGCTGGACATGGGCTCGCGTGTTGCGATCTTGGGGGAACGTTCGTAGTGTGCAGTCTGGTCACATCAACAGCGTTACCCAAGATGATATATTTGCTCGTCACGTGCGTCGCCGGGCACAGCCCAGGCCTCTGCCTTCTATACGCGTGCCTCCTCCCCGTACTTCGGCAGATGAGCTGGCTGCCGCCTCAGCTGAGCACAATCGCGGGGTCTCCAGAACGGCAGTGTAGCTTGGACCGCAGATGAGCAGGTGTGCAGTGTGATTGCCCCTGCACAGTGTGCCTGCGTGCCCTCCTCCATGTTTTGGGAGCTTCGACGGAGGCAGTCTGTGGAGAGGTTGCGAGCCGGTTGATGCTCATGCATGCGCCGTG